ACATACATACATACATACATACATACATACATACATACATACATACATACATGCCCATAAAATGTAAATATTTATGGTAAATTGTAGATTTTTCGGTTTGAATTACCAGGCGCACAGGAATTCCAGAAGGTGACCAACGATCGTTTGGTTTTCGGTAGCAACTTGCTGCTGATTATAATCGCCAGGTAATTCAATCCGAAAAATCTACAATTTGCCAAAAAAAAAATTAACACTTTGTGGGCAAAATTGAAAGATTTTTCGGTTTGAATTACCAGGCGCACAGGAATTCCAGAAGGTGACCAACGATCGTTTGGTTTTCGGTAGCAACCTGATGCTGATTATGACCAAACACACATATGTACATACATACATACATGCATACATACATACATGCATACATACATACATACATACATACATACATACATACATACATACATACATACATACATACATACATACATACATACATACATACATACATGCCCATAAAATGTAAATATTTATGGTAAATTGTAGATTTTTCGGTTTGAATTACCAGGCGCACAGGAATTCCAGAAGGTGACCAACGATCGTTTGGTTTTCGGTAGCAACCTGCTGCTGATTATGACCAAACACACATACATACATACATACATACATACATGCATACATACATACATACATACATACATACATACATACATACATACATACATACATACATACATACATACATACATACATACATACATACATACATACATACATACATACATACATACATACATACACACACACATACATACACACACATAAATACATACATACATACATACATACATACATACATACATACATACATACATAAATACATACATACATACATACCGAAAACCATACATACATACCGAAAACATACCGAAAGCATGGCAAATTGTAGATTTTTCGAATTGAATTACCAGGCGATCATAATCAGCAGCAAGTTGCTACCGAAAACCAAACGATCATTGGTCACCTTCTGGAATTCCTGTTCGCCTGGTAATTTAAACCGAAAAATCTCGCAATTTTGTCTCCAAAATTTAAATATTTATGGCAAATTGTAGAGTTACACAACATACATATGTACATACATACATACACACATACATACATACATACATACATACATACATACATACATACATACATACATACATACATACATACATGCCCATAAAATGTAAATATTTATGGCAAATTGTAGATTTTTATGCTTGAATTACCAGGGGATCATAATCAGCAGTAGGTTGCTACCGAAAACCAAAACGATCGTTGATCACCTCCTGGAATCGCCTGGTACTTCAAACCGAAAAATCTCACAATTTATCCTACAAAATTTACTTTTTTATGGCAAATTGTAGATTTTTCGGCTTAAATTACCAGGCGATCATAATCAGCAGCAGGTTGCTACCGAAAACCAAACGATCGTTGGTCACCTTCTGGAACTCCTGTTCGCCTGGTAATTTAAACCGAAAAATCTCACAATTTTGCCTGCAAAGTGTTAATTTCTTTGGCAAATTGTAGATTTTTCGGATTGAATTACCTGGCGATTATAATCAGCAGCAAGTTGCTACCGAAAACCAAACGATCGTTGGTCACCTTCTGGAATTCCTGTTCGCCTGGTAATTCAAACCGAAAAATCTCACAATTTATCCTACAAAATTTACTTTTTTATGGCAAATTGTAGATTTTTCGGCTTAAATTACCAGGCGATCATAATCAGCAGCAAGTTGCTACCGAAAACCAAACGATCGTTGGTCACCTTCTGGAATTCCTGTGCGCCTGGTAATTCAAACCGAAAAATCTACAATTTACCATAAATATTTACATTTTATGGGCATGTATGTATGTATGTATGTATGTATGTATGTATGTATGTATGTATGTATGTATGTATGTATGTATGTATGTATGTATGTATGTATGTATGTATGTATGTATGTATGTATGTATGTATGTATGTATGTATGTATGTATGTATGTATGTATGTATGTATGTATGTATGTACATATGTATGTATGTATGTATGTACATATGTGTGTTTGGTCATAATCAGCATCAGGTTGCTACCGAAAACCAAACGATCGTTGGTCACCTTCTGGAATTCCTGTGCGCCTGGTAATTCAAACCGAAAAATCTTTCAATTTTGCCCACAAAGTGTAAATATTTTTTTTGCAAATTGTAGATTTTTCGTGTCCATAGCCCTATAATTCCCAACTGGTTCTCGTGAGGGCTGTAAGGCATGTCTTCTAATTTAGAGTCACAAAATATTCCAAGTCATCTTTCTTACCGGTCGAGCAGTGAATGTAGTGTATGTGTAGTAGTGTATGCGTTCTTGATTACTTGCAAGATCACATTGGCATCCCTCTTGAACAAATAACCAGGCAAGTATTATTTATACAAGTGTTTGAAATTATGATCGCCTAATAATTTAAACCGAAAAATCTCAGAATTTTTCCTGCAAAATGTCAATTTTTTTGGTAAATTGTAGATTTTTCGGATTGAATTACCAGGCGATCATAATCAGCAGCAGGTTGCTACCGAAAACCAAACGATCGTTGGTCACCTTCTGCAATTCCTGTTCGCCTGGTAATTCAAACCGAAAAATCTTTAAATTTTACCCACAAAGTGTAAATATTTATGGCAAATTGTAGATTTTTCGTGTCCTATAGCCCTATAATTCCCAACTAGTTCTAGTGAGGACTGTAAGGCATGTCTTCTAATTTAGAGTCACAAAATATTCCAAGTAATGTTTCTTACCGGTCGAGCAGTGAGTAAAGTGTATGTGTAGTAATGTATGTGTTCCTAAGTGTGATTACTTGCAAGATCACATTGGCATCCCTCTTGAACAAATAACCAGGCAAGTATTATTTATACAAACCGAAAAATCTCAGAATTTTGCCTGCAAAATGTCAATTTTTTTTGGCAAATTGTTGATTTTTCCGATTGAATTACCAGGCGATCATAATCAGCAGCAGGTTGCTACTAAAAACCAAAAGATCGTTGGTAACCTTCTGGAATTCCTGTTCCCCTGGTAATTTAAACCGAAAAATCTCACAATTTTGCCTGCAAAATGTTAATTTTTATGGTAAATTGTAGATTTTTCGGATTGGATTACCAGGCGATCATAATCAGCAGCAAGTTGCTACCGAAAACCAAACGATCGTTGTTCACCTTCTGGAATTCCTGTTCGCCTAGTAATTTAAACCGAAAAAATCTCACTTACTGTTGGAACACATATGTAGTTATTGCCGCTTTTAATATTTGTTTAGGAAACATATTTTCTTGTAGCCCTTTAATTCCCAACTAGTTCTAGTGAAGACTGTAAGGCATGTCTTCTAATTTAGAGTCACAAAATATTCAAGTAATGTTTCTTACCGGTCGAGTAGTATAGTGTTTGTGTTTTTAAGTGTGATTACTTGCAAGATCACATAGGCATCCCTATTGAACAGGCAAATGTTATTCATACAAGTGTTTGAAATATTATAATATTTATTTTAAAATATTTATTCATAAAATATATTTAAAATACAATATAAAATACTTGTTAAGAAATTGATTACCCTACACTGAAAGAGATATATATTTTTATGTTTATTCGTATACAAAGTGCTACTTAATTAATCTCGAGCTGTTTGTAATTAAATAATAATCTATTATTTTGCCATAATTATATTAGTGAGTGGAATAGTGAGGTCTGAACTCACTTTGTCAAATTGCCTAAAGAAGAATACAAACAAAATAATATACAAAAGCAAACATTTTGAGATTTCTGCCAAAATGTCTAAAGAAGGGTATAAACAAAAATTTCGCGATTTCTGGCTTGACCAGCCAGATTTTAAAAATTGGTTAACAAAGGACCAAAGTGATAAAAACAAACGCTTTTGCAAATACTGCAAGTGCAACATAAATGCAAAAATTTATTAAATTCGTGCTCATAAGGGAAAAGAACGTGCAAAATACTAAGTGCTGTGCTCAAGTAAATAAAATAACCGTTTTGCCTGTTAAGTCCGATGAAGTGTGTCGCAAGGAAACCAGGAAAAACCTATAAAATGTCCGAAACGTATTTGAAACGGATTGGCACAATGGCAACGTATGAATCAAACGTTAAGGACGAATGCGTCGTGGACGACACTCTTAAAACATTAAATTAAAAGTTAACTAAATAAATAATAATCATACAAAAAATCTGTCCTGATTTTTCATCCTTGTTTGAAATGTTCAGCCTATTTTTTCCGTTTTTTTTCTCAATCTGTCCCTTTTTTTCAGAAAAATATTGGCATCACTGATGAGCAATGGTGCGTCGTTAGCCCTGGTTAGTGATTTTCATCAGCTGTTTTATAGCCTAATCAATGGTCACACTGTTTTGAACTTTGATTATTTAATAAACAATTACTACATTTTAAAAGATAAAACTACCTTTCCGAAATGAGACACGTGCAATTTCTGGCCCGCACCGTTCTGGTGCAAAACAATAATGTGGAGGAGGCGTGTCGTTTGTTAAATCGCGTGTTGGGAAAAGAAGAACTGCTCGACCAATTTCGGCGCACGCGATTCTACGAAAAGCCGTATCAGGTTCGAATTCAAATAACTAAACTATTGATTATTATTTAATGACTTAAACTATTGTTTAGGTGCGTCGTCGCATCAACTTCGAAAAATGCAAGGCCATTTACAACGAGGACATGAACCGAAAAATTCAGTTCGTACTGCGCAAGAATCGCACCGAACCTTTTCCTGGATGCAGTTAGTCACATGTTAAACTAGTTTTTGTGGCAATAAAATATAGGTATTACATGAAGTGGATATTTCATTTGGTAGCCAAAACTATTAACTATTAATAAACAAAAGTTGAGTCTTATTAGTTGAATATGTCGGCCAAAAATCCCGTTGTATCCCAATTGTTGAATGAAAGCCAATTATGTAAAAATTGTTATTGAAAAAATATTTCTTTTTAGCCGCTGTCGATAAGTGCACTTTACAATTTCGAAATGATCCATTCCCGAAAGTAAGCAGTGTTTGTGTGAAATTCTGGCTTGCACCTATTTTCCTGGCAGGGGGGGGTAAGTCCGTAGGAGATTATGCCGGTTGCATAAGTTACTAAGACCGTCCCATGTAATACGGTCTCCATTAGGGGTCCGCCGGAATCGCCTTGACGGGTGTGATTCCCATCCAAACCACCAGCACATATTTGACTGCGGAAATCGAAGTCTTCATTTGATTTGCAAACATCTGGATGCCTTTCCGCGATGAAGCTGCGCAACAACACTTCACTTTGAAATCCTTGTCCTATTTCCGGCCATCCGGATGCTCTAAATTCCCGCTTATGCAATGATATTCTTTGGGGTATTGGAATACAAATAGGTTGAATGGCTGTCGTATAGCTATAGGAAAATCATTGTTATATCAGTGTACGGAATCCAATATGACTAGTCTCTAATGATGCAAAAGGATCTAAGGAGTTAATTGATATCGCACTAATAATTCGAGCAGAGAATCATAACTCACCGTACTGGAACTTTAAGTCGCAAGAGTGCTATGTCGTTTATCATCTTTTTTCCACGGTTGAATTGTTCATGAGCAATAATTTGGTCCACATCGATTTCCAGATAAGGATGAACGTTCCGACCTCTTCCATTCACTATAATCCAATCGGGATTTGTTGACCTGTCATGTTCGCCCAATCTCACTCTCTTGAGAACAAGCGAAGGCGGCAAAAATGGATAATCCACGCAGTGCGCTGCCGTCAAGACGTACCACTTGTTTATAAGGGATCCCCCACATCTTGGGAATTCCTTCTGAGACATATTGTTTTTTAGACTGTATAACAGCATGGCGATCCAGGGAAACTCATTAGGCGTCGGCACTCTGCCTTTCGTGGGCTTCCTTCTTGATATTCCACAGGTATCAGGTAGCATATACGTCTTCGGATTGGGGCAGCAAATTTTATTCATGCCACAAACTCTGATGGATGAATTCGTAATCATATTTGCTCTCATCTTGGGACAGTTATGTAGTTGCACGCATTTCGTAGCAAACTGACATCCTGAAAATAAAGAATGTATTTTGAAATACGTTTATGCATAGTATAAAGTATTAATTCCTGCAGGTTGTCAATTACACACCTTTTCCATTTGTTTGAGGCAAAAGAATTTGCAGCATTAGCAAAAAATACCCTATGAGTCCTAAGTACATGTTGATCAACGAATGATTTAAATAAAACTGTGTAAAACTGTAGTCTTCAATGCTATTTATTGTTATATTAGTAAGTTATGAGTAAGTTTACTTCACTGGAGTGAAATATTACGTAGCAACTTTAAAAAGATCCAGAGTGATTAAGCTGTTGAAACTATAATTCATAACGGCAATTCATAACCTTTTTTCTCTTTGCGAGAATCACTTAGGCAGCTTTTTGTGGCAGGAGAGGGAAAGAGAGAGCTTTCAGTTATATGACCGCAGTGTTTTAACGATATACGGCTCAGAATACTTTCTTTCCTCGAACTCAGCAGACGCGCTTTCCTTTTCTCGTTCTCTAGAAATCTGAGAGGTAAAACAGTTCTGGTCGCCGACAATTAGGTCGGTTTTGAAGAAGTGATTTATAGAATAGGAAAACGTATCAAACTTTTTTGTATGCTTTCTATAAAGTGAATTTTCTTTACTCGAAAGATGGCATTTTGTGTGTGTGTGAGTAGCTAGTGCAGATACTTGAGATATTCTCTGATGGCCTTTTAATTCAATGGATTCCCAAACGTGCTTAAGTGTTCCCCGAATGCATCGATAATTCGCTCATGCTGCCAATTTACTCAATTTACACTTGCGCCCCCGTGTGCAAGTGTGCGGTGTGTTTGTGTGTGTGTGTTTCGCATTCGCATCAAATTTGGCGTGTTATTTCGCGTTGCCTGCTTCTTGGCGCTTTTATTATTCTCCACTGCTTTACTGTGCCTGCCTTTGTTGTTGTCTTATCGATTTCGTGTGTTATTTTTAGCGTGATTTGCATATGTATGTATGTGTGCCTGCTTTCTGCCTCGCTCTCCTTCTCAGTATGCGTGTGTGTGTGTGCTTGTTTTTGTACTTCCTTTTTGCTCTTCCTTTATGTGCTTGTGTTTGTGCTTCGAATGTGGTGCAATCGAATCTTGGGCCCTAATGAAATGAATTACGTCTTGTGTCACTTTCAGTCTTTTTGGCTTGAACATCATGGCGACGAGAAATCTGTTGGCCATCCTTCTTTTGGCCAGCATCTGCATGACCCAGGCATATCCGGCTTTATTGCCCTACATCTACAGTGAGTAGCCAAAACTCCCCACATTTCTTGACCCTTATACTTTCCGCTCTCCAAAGCTAATTTGCATTTATGCCAACTTAGATTTGGAAGCAGAATGCCGTGGATTATATACCCTTGCAGCTAAAAATTAATTGTTATAAATTGCCTTAAATTCTACTTAAAGAAATGTAATACTTTTATCAATTTTTATATACATATCTTAATCTATATGAAATCCTGTGATAAGTATTTGTCTTCACCATCTCCTAAATTAGATCCTTCCAAGCGCAGCAGTGATACGACTTTCCCCCAAATCGAGGACGATGTCAGTGAACTGGACCAGCTACGGAATGAACCGGGAGCGGTAATGACCAAGCGGCAGCATGATGGAAGTACCGCTCGGACCACCACCACCACCAAGAAGAGCGTCGAGGAGGTGGCCGCTGTTCCCGAGCCAGGTCCAAATCCAAATGCGAATATTCTGCCCGACTTGGAGAGGCAGTTAGAGGTGGCGACGCCTCTGATTTCCACCACTACAACCACCAGCACGTCGGCCACCACCACTACGGCAACTTCCAAGGAGGAGGGCGAAAGATCCCAGCTGGAGGAGCCGAAAACGCAGATCAAAACCGTAGTGGAGCCGACGGCCCATGCGAAGGTAAGTGGCCAGCCCCAATCCCTGCGAGAATCCCAGTCTAGAGCGCTTGGTAAACTCCAAACTCCTCTTTTGCAAAATCCAAGTGTATATCTACGAAACCACCCAAAAATCAACAGGCATTTTACGGGGCGGCTCGTCTAGCCTTTGGCCAAAATCCAGAGGTGCTACCAACGACCACCACCACAAGTACGACAACCACTACCACAACTACGACGGCAGCTCCTCCATCTGAATCCGAGCCAGAAGGGGAGTCCCAACCACCAGCCCAACTGGAACCGCAAGCTAAAGAAGCAGAACCGGAGACGGAAACCGCTCCAGATGTGGCAGGAGAACCAGTGGAGGCGGAGGATGCCGTCGGCGAAGTTGCTGAAACCGAACTGACCGCCCTGAATCCGCCTAAATCCAAACAGAATCACCATGAGTCCAACAAGGAGACCATCGGAGACATTGTCTTCGATGTGGTGGCCCGCACCACGGAGCGAAGATCCAGCACGCCAAAGATAACGGCCAAGGTTCTTATACCTAGTCACAGATAAATCACACAACAATCGGACTGATTTCCATGAAAATAATTGGCAAAACTCAAAGACAAATTATTACCATTAGACGAGCATACAGCTACAAAATTGTAATGATTGGCAGTCTCTGGCGAAATTCCTATATTTCACATACAATTGATGAAATTTGAAATCGGCTGACAATTTTCTCAATGACCGTGCATTTTTAAGAAGCAGAGATCTCGTCTATGGACTGATTTTGATTCAATTGTTTTTATTTTTCAGACCGCCAAGAGCTTTTTGCGTAGTCCGAATGGTCAGTACTCCTCGTTTGACATGGCCCAGTATATTTTTTGGACTGGAGATGAGACAGCTGTGGTAAAAGCCGTGGAAGAACTGGTTGAGGGAAAAGTGGTAAGAAAAAGTCTTAATTTTTCGGTTGGAATTTTATTTAATATTTCTTTAAACTGTATTTTTAAATTTTACATAAATTACTACTCAAAATGAGATCCCGTCAAATGACTCTGAATTTTGGTCCTGTACTCAGCAGTATTGTGTTTTGATTTCATCATAAAGTTTGCGGCATCATTGTATATATACTTGGAGCTATTTAATTCATTTAGTCTTTCATCGCATCATAATAGTAAAGACTAAATCCATTGCTCATTATGAAGGAGGGACACAGAAATGGTGGCCATGGTATCCATAATGACCATGGTGTCCATGACTATGGTGATTTCCAAAATTACGATTTTCTTGCTGTGCAGTTTCCATATTTGGCGGCATAATTTCGCTTATTATTATCTTTCCGCTTTTCGCCGGCTTTGTAGAACTACGCTGTTTGATTGTTGGTGAACTGATTTCCCAACGCTAAAGTAGAAGCTTTTATAGCTTTTCAGCTTGATACACAATCCCCACAGGCCAAGCAATCGGCGATAAGTTTTTTTTTATTATTTACTTATCAAGTGGATTTGCACTGAAGCTTTTTTGAATTGGTAATATGACAATATTCTTGTGAAAATACTTTAATATCATTCATAATATATTCGTGTTTCAAAACTTCTCCAAAATTTCTTAAATTGTTTTCATTTTATTCATATTTCTTTTTCCCCAATTTGTATCTGTGCCAGCTAAGTAAAAAGTAACTGATGGTCGGGACACTCGACTATAGAACTCTCTTATTTCTAAAAATAAATACTTAGTAATACATAATTATTTTTGAATAATATTTGTTTATTAACGTTACGAATTAGAGGAAATATAATTTGAAATACTACTACTAAATACTACTGCGTAAATAAACAGCGTTGTTATTAATGAGTTATATTTAGGTATCCGGTTTGTTTGGTGCTATTTATGTTTTGTTTACAGGCTTTTAGAATTGAGTATTTCAATAAGATACTTAGTGAAGACGATTAAATACATTATTTTAGAAATACCTGCAAGGTTATAAAATCTTCGGCGTAACTATATTTTTCAACTTTTAAGTAATATTGAGCTAAATAAGAATAAATATGCACTCACATTAATATGTTTGTGTAGATCACTCGGGAGAGCGCCTTGAAATTTCTGCAGGACATTCGGCTGGGAATAGAGTTCCTGCAGCGGTCCTATGCCAATCGAATTTTCCCCGAGGAGGTTCGCCAGAATCAGTTAAAGCGCCACAGCCCCGCCATTACCACGCCCCCAACATCCACTACGACCACAACGACAACAAGCACCACTACAACCACAGAAAAACCATTCCCAGAAGTGCACGAATCCGGTTTGGAATCAGGAATCGAGCGAGGCGCCGCAGGAGTCCTGCCCGCGAAGAACTTCGATAGCTTCACCTTCTGGAACAAACTCAAAGTTTTGGACAGCGAGGCACAGCAAGGTGGGACTAAAATCACACATCTTATATATATGTTTCATTTGAGATTTCATTTACTTTGTTGCAATACCAGATTTGAACGACTATGATGAGGGTCGGGCCAAGATTGTTGAGTACTTGTACAATGAATACTCCCTGGAGGAGATCCTTTACAAACTAGCAAAGGTATTACCAATCACTAATACTAGGCCACTCAAACAAAAAAATTAACGAGTGCTTCCTTATTCCTAGGTAATGTTTGCCCAATCGCTTTCGCATGGCTCCGATGAGGCCCAAATGGAGCTGCAGAAGCTTACTGAATTTTTAGAGCGCGAGGGTAACATGGGTGTCATACCCATTGACTTGCAAAAGAAAGTTTTAAGTACGTAATTGGTGTTACCCATATTATCCTATTCTACGCAAACCCCTGCATTCAATTGTGTCTTTTAATTACTTCAGGAGTTCTGCTGAGCGCATTATCGGACACCCTGACCGAACATCCGGAGTTCCTGCCGGCGGCGCAGGTGAATCTGGCCAACCCATTTTACAGGCTTCCAATCCATGCCCCCAGCCAATAAAGATAGATTGGGAGGCCATCGCAGATTGATAGAAACCCCTATAAATATATATATGTTAACCCTCATAATCCGCATCAGCTAAATGGCAAAATCGGCGCTACTCTGGGGAGGCGCTCTCTCGGATCTTCGATCCAACTCGGGCCTAAGTTCATCCTATCGATTGGCACCTTTCACCTTCGTTAACGGATTAGCCTACGTGTAATATAGCAAAAGATACTCAAGTGATATTTTCTGGTCAGGCGGAGTCGGCGGCAGATGCAGATACACTTACGGTACGATAAGAAAATCAAATGTCAAAAGACATAGCAAAGTAACCGAACCAAAACCCAAAAGACAAAACTGATGAGAGAGACTTGCGCCCCTTTGAGCTTTTAAAATTAATATAGACTATCTATATGTATATGTCCACGGTATGCATACGAATTGGCGCACTTGCTTATATTTGATATGAGTTTGTTAGTTAGATACATTCAGAGGTTGAGGTGTCGAGTTCGCTGGCAAAATCGATTGGCCGCCAGGAACGACCGATTTGAAGCAGGAAAGGGCTCTGAGTCCGCCTATATCAGTAGCTAATATGTTTATAACTTGTAACAGACGAGCGATTTTCGTGAATAGTTATTATTATATATGTTGTCCCCCCTGAATAATTGAGCGTTACATGCATTATTGATGGATTGGTTAAACGATTGATTGCGTTGCGAGTTACATATACGATATGCAAGTAAGAGCTACAACCTGTATCAACAAATTATCGATTATACACTCAATATACATAAATATATATATATAAAAAACAAGTGAAAAATAAATTTATTTAACTATTGCTCCTTTTTGGGCTCTAAAGTCTCTGGCTTGTCGAGCAACTGGTTGATGCGTTCTTCAGTCACCGGCTCCTTACTGTTGAACAGCTTCTCGATCTCGGCCCTCTCTTCCTCGGTTATATCCTTGGCGTAGATTTTGGCCAATTCCTCAAGGCGCTGCTGGTTCTTCTTCAGATGTCCGGGTAGCCAGAAAATGGTCTGCACCATTCTAAAAAAGGATAGTTACTAGTGGGGTAATGTGAACCCATACAAACTGCCTTACATATATTACTCATTACAAGTTTGTACGTTACATATTAAGTATTTAGAAATGAATAGTTTAGTAAATGTCCTTACTTCAGAAGCACAAATCCGCAAACGGCCAGCAAAAGACACATTCCGGATGTCTTGAACATCGTCCAATAGTCCACTGTAACTTGTTGGTGTTTCATTTTGGAAATCCTTTGAAAATATGCTCCACTCGAGACTAAATTATCGGTTGAACTGTCATAAGTACGATATGGTTATATGCCTGTGGGCCAAGCTTGGTAATGTTATGGTCACGTCGTCAGGGGCAGCCGGTTACGGAGATACGTGTATTATAGACCACTCGGCAGACCAATCATGTGTGGCCTCTATAAATCGATACCACCCAAGCCCTGATTTGATGACCCGACCACCAAGTGGGGCTAAGGTGCTAACTGGGATATAATATATAAGGATTAATATGCGCACGTGTTCCTGCTGAAGAAGTGCTGCATGTTGCCGACGCCACCAGCAACATGTTGCTGGCGTGATTTCAGCCATTTTATTGTATTCATTTGCAATCGCACTTTCTATTTTTAACAATTATCTTTAACGAATTACGTATTTGCAAGAAAATTATAAAAACGATGTGACTAAAAAAAGAGATCGAACTTCAGGATACCCTCTTCTCAATTTTGAATGTTTGGGAATTTCAGCGTGACTTACGGCTTGGCCTTCTAAGCCATTTCCTTTGTTGTATTACAGCTAAAGGTGATTCTTTTGTAATAATTCCATTCCATTCCGAATTTAATTTTTTTTAAGCAAAATCTATTTAGATCCGTGTGACTGGAACTATTAATCATTAATGGCGATATACGCTCTTGAGTTTTTAAACTAGTGGGTACTAAAATAATTGGAAATCGATAAGGAAATCAAACGTTTTGCTGGGGGGTTTGCGCTTGCTTAGATTGTAAATTTGAGACCGCCGATTTTAATCTAAACAATAAGCTGATTAGGCTAGGTGTATCTATCTCTCATATATACTTAACTGATTTCTTGGGGGTCTTCGTACGCGCTTGCCAATAAATCTGATGGTTTGTGACTACCAATGGATAGATAGCGTTCAAGGGGCTATAAAAGCTGGAATCCCGAACCACACGGATCATAGTACTGCGATGACAAGAGGAGCGCTAAAAGCGGCCATTTTACTGGTCGGATTGGGTCTGGTTTTGGCCGGGTCTCGGCCTATTTCCGATTGCGTAAGTATAAAGTTATACACTTATTCAAGTAACAAATTTGTAACATATGATTTTGTTTTTCTTTTAAAAGAGACAAACCTTCTAAGTACATTTTACTTAAAAGTTAAAGAAGGACTACATTAACAATTAATTTCATTGCTTTGTAGGGTGATCGCATTGAGGACGATGGATACCCTATGGAGCGCCACGAGGTGGTCACCAGTGACAACTACATTCTGACCATGCACCGCATCCCATACTCCCCCAAAACGGGTGATTCTCTCAATCGCCCGGTGGCCTTCCTCATGCACGGTATGCTGAGCTCCTCCTCCGACTGGGTACTCATGGGTCCAGAGCGATCCCTGGCCTACATGCTGGCCGATGCCGGCTACGATGTGTGGATGGGTAATGCCCGAGGCAACACCTACTCCAAGGCGCACAAGTACTGGCCCACTTACTGGCAGATCTTCTGGAACTTCAGCTGGAACGAGATCGGCATGTACGACGTTCCGGCGATGATTGATTACGTTTTGGCAAAGACTGGACAGCAGCAGGTGCAATATGTGGGCCACTCCCAGGGCACCACTGTTTATCTGGTGATGGTGTCGGAGAGACCCGAATACAATAACAAGATCAAGTCCGCCCATCTTCTGGGACCTGCCGCCTACATGGGCAACATGAAGAGCCCTTTGACCCGCGCCTTTGCCCCCATTTTGGGGCAGCCCAATGCCATCGTGGAGGTCTGCGGATCCATGGAGTTCATGCCCAGCAACAAGTTTAAGCAGGATTTGGGAATCGAGATGTGCCAGGCCACTTCTTCCTATGCCGACATGTGTGCCAACGAGATCTTCCTGATTGGAGGCTACGATACCGAGCAGCTGGACTATGTAAGTACCTGGAAATCATTTTGGCCCTATCACTTTCATTGAATTTATAATGCTGCTCTCCGTTTGTTCAGAACCTACTTGAGCACATCAAGGCTACTTCTCCGGCTGGCGCATCCGTGAACCAAAACCTGCACTTCTGTCAGGAATACAACTCCGGAAAGTTCCGTAAATTCGACTACACTGCCCTCCGCAATCCCTATGAGTATGGCAGCTATTTCCCCCCGGATTACAAGCTAAAGAATGCCAAAGCCCCGGTTCTATTGTATTACGGAGCAAATGACTGGATGTGCGATGTGAACGATGTCCGCAAGTTGAGAGACGAACTGCCCAACATGGCACTGGACTACTTGGTACCGTTCGAGAAGTGGGCCCATCTGGATTTCATTTGGGGCACTGAAGCCAGAAAATACGTGTACGACGAGGTCTTGAAGCAGATGCGATCATACGAATAGTTTTATTTTCTACGCAATAAATGAAACATTTGAGCTGGCATTAGTCCTCCTCCAACTCTATATGCAGCACATACGATAATATTTTTGTCTCTTCATTCTTAAGCGAATACTTTATGAGATAGAAGCCCGGAGTCATCAGTTTTTTGAGCACCTTGACTTTGAAAGGATAGTCCTCTAGTACATAACGCTCCTTGGGTAGAGGACAGCTGCCAGGATGCGGGGCGTTCGAGTAACCCTTGATCCGTTCGTAAAATATATCCTTGTAGTAGCTCTTCATAAAGTCGCAAAGCTGCATCTCCAATGTCAAAACCTTTTCGAAGTCTGCGTCGCCATCCGGGGATCTTAAAACCTTAAGCACAACCTGATGCGAAAATACTGAATAATTAGTCCTACACAATATAATATACTCTTATTTTACGTACCGTCCAATCATTGTCGAGGCTGTGAGTCAGATCGAGATATCCATCGACCTTAAACTCATTTTCCTCGGACTCAGCGATTCGCAGATGGCTGCGCAGATGTGTGGTATCCTCAGTCACCTTATCTAAACTCTGAATTCTGATCGTTCTTTTAGCCTGGACTCCAACATTGCTTGCAACTAGGATAGTTGCCAGCACCGCCAGATAAGAGACGGGATATAAAGAGGAGCCCATTACGATACGTTGACAGCTGATGACTGATCATTCACTGTCAAAAGTTTATAAGGACTTAGATAGATTAGCGATCATCACAAGCTAAATTGAAGCTTGTACCGGAAACGAAATTGGTTCGGTTATTCACAGAAATGGTTTATTGATATCAAAACGCGATCTCTTTGTTTAATTGAGCAGTTGCACACAGTTATAATATATTTAATTGCCAAAATCACGACATATATGACTGACTCTACTTTAAGAACGGTAAAGCTATGAAATAACTAGTACCCTACATTTTACTTTAAACAATTTTAATACAAATTCTAACTGTGTTTTAAATTCTGAGAACTTCATTTTTACATCTTAAGGTGAACTATTTAATTTGCATTTATTTCTAGATACAAAAAATCAATCCTATTGGAGATATAGCTAGAAAAATTCTATTCCCAAAGAACTTAAATCTGTAAAATAAAGCATTATTAACATGTTCAGCAAGTGGGCGTCCAGCTGATAGCGATAGCGATAGGGATAAGAGGAGTTGGAGTTTCCTCCCAATTCGTTCATAGAATCCCTGTTCCCACGAATTGAGCTATTTATATTTCAATAAAATCTTGGCCTTTTTTATTTATTTATTGCATGGCAGTCTTAATACATAAAGCAACAACAAACAAATGCTAAGCCATTGTTAACAAAATATATACATAATATATATGTAATTGGTAACAGCACGACAATGTCGATGGGGTACAATCGAGCCAGCCTTAACCTTTTATGACCACACCAGTGCGCACAGATATTAATATTCATCCTTCTGTATAATTGTTCTTAATAATTTTTGTTAAAAATGCTGAAAATATACTTTTAACTATACGCAGATAAAAGGCATTTGGCTTACAACAAAGCAATAAAAATGGCATTCAAGCTGCGAAGTAATCGCCATTATTTAAACTGTAATATTCACGGTAAGCGAGTGCATTTCTGTATCTTATCAAAAATGATTTATTTCGGGATAGCGGGCATGAAACACTTTAAACAAATAGTTTGCTAGCATAAAAGCATCTTGGTTAACAACTGGAACGGGTTAAAGCTAAGTTATGTTCTACACTGTGGAGAACGAATTGCTGCTGGAATGTTTGCATTGATCAAGGGAATCTGCCAGCCAGCCATGGGAGAACTATTGCCTAGGTGAGGGATCGATTAACATAGCGGCTAACTCAAGGTGCCAAAATTGAGACGCAGTTGCTCCAGGAACACGAAGGTGATGATCGTGTGTGGACCCAGACGCACAAATGCCGGCACATAGCCCTTGAAGAAACCGAGGGGACCCAGTTTGGCCGTGTGCTTGACGATGTCCCACAGGCCATTGAACTCTCCGGGTTTCGCGTTCATGGATCGAGTCTTGAGCACATCCAATGGCTGGGTCAGAGTGGTGGCTATTGTTCCGGCCACCAGGGAGGCGGTGAAGTGCGTGACCAGGTTGTCGTGGAAATACGGCGTGGCCAGCAGGTAGACCTTCGTTTGGTCGTAGAATGCAATCTGGCCGATCGTCATCAGGACCCCACGGGCAGTCGCTGTGGTGGCGCCAGAGAAGAGTCGCTTGAATCCCTCCTGGCGGTAGACCCTAATCAGTCCGTCGAAGGCATTATTGTAGCTGAAACACAGGAAGGAAGTAAGTTAAAGTAATTAGAAATATCTAAAGCACAAAAAGTGTCGCGTGATTTATAATAATATATATACCTAAAAAAATCGAAATAATTTTAGCTTTATGCTAACTAACTTTAATAAGAACAAATTAAAAGAAATACCACATACTTGCGTCGTTGTTGCGGCGGCAATTTTACGTCGTTCTGCATGCGCACGTTGACCATGTCCGCCGGAGTTCCCACAATTCCTCCGATAAGACCGGATGCCCCTGCGAGGGCCACCTTGCCGCCAAAGGTGTCCGTATTGACGTAGGCCTTTCCGGCCTCGTACACACCGAATCTCGCAGTGGAGTAGGTCAATTGGCGCAACATTGAGGCAGACAGGCCGTTGTAGAAGACGAGTACTCCTCGTTCGCGGGCGAGTTTCGGGATCAACTGGGCCACTGACAGGTGACCCTGTTGCGTCTGCAGCGTGACCTTGATGAGGTCGAGTGGATGGGTCACCATGGCGGCACCCACGCTCGCCAATCCGCCAAAGAACCACATCGGTTTCCTCTCTCGTTGAGACATTTCGCGTGAATCCTTAGATATCTACCTTTACCTAGAAGGTGGTGAAAGAGATATGTATATTATTTAGATGCCAAATTAAAATGATTTTCTGTACCTATTGCAAATGTAAAAGGGCGGCTAAGTCGTATCTCTTGCGATGGGCGGCATTTTCAGTGTTATGTCATGTCGGTGGGGCTATAAGGAACTGACAAAATTGAAGGACCAACAGATAAAACATCTGGGCGGTTGCGCGAAAGCTTAGCTTGAAAGCTTTCGGTGATTACATGTCGGTAACTGTTGTCTTGGGCGTAGTCGAAAATGTTAACTATGGGGTAAGTGCCTTACCAAATAGTTCTAGTAAAAATAAGGTTCTGTTTCGATACATTTAAAGGCTCAGTAACGACTTCGAATAACTCGTTCTTTAAATGTAATACCTTTTCTAAAATGCATAATTATATATTATTATGTAAGCCTAATGATGTTAGTAAATAACTAACTTGATATAAATTCAAATAATTCCATATAAACCTGGTATAGTCAAATATTATTATACGCATTACAATAAATCTAAAGCGAAGCTAATTATTTTTAATGAAGTGAAGACTTCACTTGAGGAGCACATGCATGAGTAACTGAGTTAATGCAAATAAACCAAAATGATTCAATAAGAATTAATTGTTTCTTCTCGTTACATTTGGCGCACCTTAACGCATTTATTGATATCATAATAAATATTTATCCCCTTCGGAAACGACCATGGATATATATTATTTATGTCGTTACACGTGTATAACATTCTGTAAACTCACAACATCGGTCTTGCTGCGCTTAACAGCACTCTTTTCGGACCTGCTTAACAGCTGATCGGTTTAAATTTACGGTCATACTAGCACCTACAACATGTTATTCATGTCAAATTTGTATATTTGTTTCGTAAACTAAACCGAGAAAGTGAATCCCTGGCCGCCCGTTAAGAGATTTCTAAGCCCGGTAGTCCTCCGAACCCACTGGTGAGTAATTAAACCCTGTTTTGGCGGCCCACACACTTGCGCAACAAGTCGCCATTGCCGGGCAGCGTCAATCTGCAATTTCGCTAATTTCATTTGTTTATAAGCGCCTAGAGTTTTGTTTACATTTTGTTTATAACTTTTGGCAACAATTGCCAGCATATCGGTCATGATCTCATGTTTGCAGTGAGGTAATGCAGAATTTGGACCAAAAAAGTGAATCGATTGGAGAGCAAGTTCGACTATCTGTTTTCTATACTCTTCCTCGGAATATCGGCATATAGACTGGACTAAGTGACTTGGGCACTAGTTTTTTTTTTCCTTTTTTGTTTTTTTATTTACTGCTAAGTCCACAATCGTTGGATTTCGTTAAATTAGTTTTATAAATTAAACATTTTGTCCGATCAATAATATATAAGTTATAAGAAATATTGGTGCGATCTTTTTCCTATAAAACTCAGATCTTATATAACCGCCAGAGTTGCCAATACTTTTTCACATTATACACAAAACCATTCAATCTATGAATGTTCAATTGAAACTGTATCAAACTAAGCCATTGAATATTCCAGTTATCAATCGACACAAAGAAATTCTACTGATACAAATTTCATATAATAGAAGTTCCTATTTCTAAATAGTATTATTGACTTGGCTTTTAATGAAAGTCAAGGGCATGAGGTATTCGGTTACAATTAGGCGTGTGTACAGTTGGTATCCATATCGGCCAATAGCTCTATTGTTTTGCTGCCATTTATAAACACGAGACCCGGGAGTAACAATCTTTATAGGCTTGTTTGTTGGCCCTGCCTTATCAAGTGGACCCGGTTACCGGGGCGTGTTTATAGATAGATAACATGTTTACTATCGACCGAAATCCCGGTGCACAACATTATTGCTGGCATGTGTTAGATTCTGTGTTTTCCGAACAGCCCGCTATTATTTATTTATTCAATTACTATTTTTGTTTGGGAACATCCACGTGCGTCGATTTGTTCATAAATTATATGCAGAACAAAATTCATTCTCTTCTTGTTTTATTATATTTTCACTTTTTGTTTTGTTTTTTTTCGGCTGAATTTTATCTGAATATAAAAATGTGTGGCAGTGGTCAAAGTCGAATTAATAACGAATATCACATGATCAGTGGGCATTCCTTTCGCGCCTAACCGAGCCCCCAAGAATGATTAGTTGATAATGAATTTTACTACTAATGAACAGCTGATTTTTGGGCAGACTATTCCGATCGTTCTATAACCTTTCGTGGCATGAAACATCGCGTGATAATTCACTAATCCGTCTGAAACACTATCTCTACGGGTGTTTGCCCATTTCGAAGCCGCATGTTTGCCTTGCAAATTGAATAATAAAACTGACACTGCAATTGCGATTGCTAAAGTGCTAATGAAGCAAAGAAAAAAAAAACAAGTAGGAGGGGAATTCTGGCCACAGCTGATGGCATATTTACCTTGAACAAGAAAACGCTGCCACTGATTTTCCGGGTTTGTTGGTCTGCTTTCCGCGAAGAAAACTATTTAATAGTTTTATAATTTTTGGCGCACCAGAAGAGCGCGTTAGAGGGGGAGAGCCAGATAGAGAGAGAGAGAGAGGGAAAGAGAGAGCGACCTCAGCACGTCATCGTCGTCCACACAAACTGGTCTGGGCTTCGGGAAATGGGATTGGTCAGGGTTTTGCTGCTGCTGCTGCTGGAGGCAAACGAAACGCAACGCTTGAGCACCGAAAGCGGACTGATCGTCGCCGCAGTCGTCAGCGCGCCAGATCCCACACAACTGCCGGCAACAGTCCGACCACACACTCGAAGAAATGGTTGAGCACTACCAATATCCGAAATGCTATAAATGCTTTTTTGTAAGAAAAAATTCCGTAAAATGTTTTACGCCATTTTACATAACTTTGATTTGCAATTTGAAAGATTTTATATATACATATATATATATTTTTTTAAGTGTGACAATGCGCTCCGAATTCGAATAAGGTCTGCTCTTTATCGCGCGGTCAAGGCGGGCAATTCGGAAGTGTTTTGGCACTGGGACTGTCACCGGGATACGGGGACTTGATTCTCGATGTCGGAGCGGGATCGACTGCGTTAGTCAGTGGCTGGCGGTCAGCGGGGCGACACTGCGAGGGAGAGCGAGAGAAAGCGGTACGCGAGCGGTACACCCATTGAGTCGAGCGCCAACATAAGGCAACTGGTGAGAGCTTTTTATTGACAACGCAATGACGCTCCAAGCTTTGGATGTGATTGTGTGTGTTTGTGCCAGTGCTACGACAATGGTATCGTTTGGCATAAGAAATCATAGCACACGGAGATTACGAGTTACACGAGGAATGACGAGCCTTGGTAATATCTGGTATCCATTCAATGGCGCATTTCCCATACGGTCATGGGGTAACAATCATGAAAAAGCCATGTGCAAATGACTCAAATTTTCCATTCACGAAACATTTATGTAATTTTAAGAAAATCCGTGCGTGCGCCTGTCGAGACACATTAATCATTGGACCCCAAATAACGAAACATTTTCATTTTGTGCCTAACTAAATCGATTGGCTTTAAATTGCTTGTGTAATGCACTTTTAAGTCAAGGTTTAATTAGAATGTTTTTGTTTGCCTGCACTTTGAGTAGTTAACGCTTCGAAGCGGAAAATCTGTTGCTTAGACGGTAATCTTCGCCGTGATAAGAGCCCATACCGAGAATGAATGCGCAAATATTTTCACCAACCATAGTGCTTAATTCTTATTTAAATATTTTCTCGCACGTTTTAATTGCGTGTCCCACCATTAACACTCATTTGTATCTCCCAGATATTTTAGCAACTCGATCCCTAGTGTTAACTGTTGATTAAATACAATGGAAAAGAACTCTAGTAAAGTGCTCCATAAAAATAGCCTCATAAAGCTTTGTCAGAAAGCTTTTCAGCCCTCAAAGGGGAGTTTCAGAAGTTTTAAAGCCTAAGTGGGCATTTACCGGCGCTTCTCACAACGGTATTTTGGTTCAGGGGTCGTATTCTTACATCATAATTTTATTGCCAAAAATGCGGATTCGATCTCCTGACTTTGGAGTATAGTTTTGTTTTATAATATTTTTTTATTATTTTAATTTATCATGGCCTTTTACGTTGCTATTTGATCCAAAATTATTAAAGAACTTATGAATACATTAATTATAATTTTTAGATTTACAAGTAAATGATTGTATATGTTAAAAAATTTATCATATTGATCATATTAATTTACTGATAATTGACAATATTTGGTACTATCTAAATACGAGAAGCTAGTACGACAGTGACACCTAGACCATAAATAACGAACAAGAACTCCTTTGCCCTGATATAAATGCTCAATAATTTATTACTCTTGATGTATTTACTTTCTCTTTGTGTATTAAGTACACTTTCTTAAATGGGGGCCACGTGTGCCGCTGACAGCAATGATGAAGTGACAAGATGGAAATTCCCTCCTTTTTCATTTTCCCTCTCCGATTTTGGCCAATAAATTTGAAGTTGTTGGCCCCGTTCAAGAGTTTTGAACCTTATTGGTCGCCACGTGACTTGGTCCGTATGAAAAAACAAAATACTGCGCACTTAATTAATTGAACTCCTCAAATGACATTTGCAAATTGACTCATGACTGTTCTCTTTATGCTATTTCAGATCGAAACAATGGCCACCTCAGTCCTGCTAGCCTGTGGACTCAATGAGCAGAAATTGCCAGGATTTGTCCACATCAGCGAGGAGTCCAATGTGGATGGCAGCTTTCTCATCAGCTGCATATTGGGTCAGAGGTTACGCATCTCAAACGCAGGAACCCTGCTTGTCTGCCTGCAGCATCACTACCAGCATTACTTCAATGCTGGCATGAGGCTAGGCTATAATACGAACATTTTCCAGGGGAAAACCCTGGGTGTTATCGATGTTTTGAGCGACATGGCCGGCGAGGGATTGGCCTCCAAATGGCTAAGAAATTCCGAGGGGCAGACTTTAACCGAGCAGCTAGTAGAGGATATTCGGGCCCAGGTGGAGAGCAACTATGCCAGTCGCAATTCCTACACGGTTCTGATCGACAATCTGTCCATATTGTTCAATTTGGGAGCGAGCAAGTTGCAGGTTCAGCAGTTCTGCCAGGACCTGGCTGCCCTCGCCAAGGAGCGCGAAAACCTGACGGTGATCACCAAGCTTAGTAACAGCGACATCTACCAGCTCACGGATAACAATGTGGCCAAGCTCGGACAGGTGCGCATCCAGGTATTGCGTTTGAAGAGTGGCGTCTTCCGCGAGGTTGATGGCAAGCTCCTCATCGAACGCGTTCTGGAGGAAGGGAACTATGCCTGCGAGGAGACGCGCAAGGAGGTGCTCTACAAGGTCAACGATCGCAACGTGAAGGTCTTTGCACCCGGCGAAATTGGGGTCAAGGTCTAAAGGCTGCGTAAGCGCAAATAATTGTTTGAATTTTAATAAAGCCATTTTTTGTATATTTTGAAAATAGCCGGTCAAAAGTTTCTTATTGCAGCGAAATTTACAGCGTATTGGATTTTTTTTGCTCACATTTTGAAATTGTAATCTAAACGGCTTAACTTGCAATAGGAACTCTTTTAACCTATTATTTTAGTAATAAGTTTGCAAGTATGTGTTACTCCTGTGGCTTTCCGTTTTCTGTCTGACTAAGATAATTTGGGTATTTACTTAATATCGTTATATTATATAAATTGCCATAGCCAAGATGTACGAATCAAAACGAAATTTTAAGCTACTTGCAGTTAGTAAAAGAACTCAATCACGTTGTTAATACTAGGTAGTCATCCTTTTTTAGCGGTCAATGCGCTGTTCAATCAAATTGCCTTTGTCCGTCCTTCATCTGGTAGCATCTGTTGACGTCAGCCGAAATGGCGAAGTATTGATGAATTTATGTCTGGTCACGATCAATAAGGAGCCAGTAAAAACGAATTAGGGCGATGGTAACCCAAGTCAGCGTCAGAAAAGTTTGCCTAAACTCGTAGGTCCACATAAACGCTAAATGACGTCGCCGACAATAAAAGCGGGCAATTGAATTTTTCCAAACCATACAGCCAGAAAAAAAGTTGATTAACTACGCCTGGGTCCCTGCCAGAAATGTGCTCCGCTTTGCAAAGAGTTTTTGGGATCCAGCCCGAGAAAGATTTATTTATATCTGTGTTGTCCCTGAATTGTATTAGGTTTTACTGACTAGCATAATGGCTTTCCAGTTTGTTAATTACTTGAAATTTTCCCATCCCTGAACACTTAATGACAAACTTTTATGGAAACGTCCAGAAGGAAATTTAATATTTTATGGTTTACAAGATGACGTGTTAATGTCCTGCCCATGATTAATGGGTATTCTATTTAAAATTCCTGTATTTTTTGTTTGACTTCTTTAAACACTTTAGGCAAGTGTTTACTGCCTGTGGCGAGGACACAAATTCGTATTCGCTCATTTAGCATTCACGTCGCAAATTGTCGTAGGACCAAGCCAGGCGTAAATAGAGAATTGCATATAGCGGTGGCACACAATCTCCAGATATGGCCCCTAAACAAACCCGGCAGATGACTTAATTAATTACGTAAATGCTTTTTGTGCACCCAAGCGCTGAATGTCGCTTATTGAAAGTTATCTCGGCGCGGAACGCCAGGATATCGGAGCCAATCGAAGGACGTGCTTTAAAATTCAGCGAATACAGAATAGGAAGGAATAGGCGACGCCTGTGGAAACGGAAGTTTACGAATATCTACTTCAATACCCCTGAAAATATAATGGAAAAGAGAAAGAAAATCTTTGCTGACTAATTTTTATATGGGGCATATATATTAACTACGAATTCTGACTAATTTTATATATTTAAAAATATGATTGGAAAATTATAATGACTAGTTGATTAGTCATTATTTTCTAATCAAATTTGTATGAAATTTTTTCGATATGTGTATAAATAATGTATTTTTTCAGAAAATGAATAGATGACGCAAATATTTTTTAGGGTGCACTTATGAGTGTTTTGAGACGAGGAAAATCCAATTGCCGGTTTGTCCTTCTCAGTACGAAGAGCAAGAAGCGGGAAAAAGGAACTGAAAATAATGATGGGGTAAAGGAAGTGTATTCTCGCATGAAGTACGAAAGGATGTTACATTTAGAGTGCTTAGGACAAGCCCCTTTACGAACCGGTCTCTGTTAATGACAGGGCCACATACGAATTTTGTTGCATACTTTGGGGGCTCGCAGGAAATTAGTGTTCGCCCAAATATGCAACGGTCTGCACATACGTATACGTTATATTTATATGCGAATTGATGACAGCCAGCAAAACCGCAAAAAAAAAAGAAAGTGGTGCGACAAGCTATAATTTATTCACATAGGATCGTCATAAACATAAATTCGGCTCGCCGGGCTGTCCTTTCAGGCCAGAAAAAGGCCCCAAAAATTGGGCCAGCGATTCGAGTGCGATGACCAAACAAAAGAACTCAGACACCTACGTCATTCTTAGCCTTTCATGCTCTCCCATAACTCCCATTAAAGCTGGAACGCCAAAAAAATGGGGTACATTTTTTAAGGTTTGATATGATGCCGTATCTTCCGATTTTCATAGCCATTGTATCGCGTTCTGAATTATCGGCAGCCACGCTCTTGCCAACATCTTATGTTTGCTGATGACACACAGGGCGTATGTGTAATATTTATTTAACAGCCACACACACGCACGCTTTTAAACGACGAAACTTGAAGATGCTTTTAGCAGTCTCTGCCTGCGCGAACTCTCTCTTTTAAAAGGATTATAGAAAGTTGTTTAACAGAGTTGCCAAAGGCAACACGAACAGGGAAGGGGTGATATAAATAATAAACCCAAATGTCAGTTATAGCTAACAGTCCTTCTGTTGCTTAAATCAAATATCTAGTATCAAGTATTTTCTATTTCAAATCTTTGTAATTTGTGAGATTTTTCTGAATCAATCTACTAAAAGGTTAAAAAAAATTTGACAAGAAATTTTGGAAATCGCTGTTTCGACAAGAGCCAAAACTTCTGTTGAATTAAATTAAAGCGCAGTCTTTTCGCCACATTTCAGTTTAATTTCATCTCGTTTGAGAGAACGTAGCAAAAAATTCATGCAATTTCACTAATTCAATATGAACATTTGAGTCGTGTGCCATCCAAACGGAATTGTCAACTGTTTAGTGTCCTTTGCGAGCGCTCTTCCTCCAATGCAGAAAGTTTTTCATGGGTTTCCCCGTTTTGCTTCCATTTTGCTTCCGTCGTTTTGCCACGATTCCACTTCCGGGAAAGCAATTAAAGATACATTTTAAGCGGAATGAACGCTAATGAATTTAATATTTTCCATTCAAACGCTGCCACCAAAAGCAGCGGTGTGCAAAAATTTTGCGATTTCGAGAGAATTCAGATTAAATTATCAGCCGGAATGTAAGCGCAATACCTGGCTGCTTCCATTAGACCACAAATTTATAGGTGCAGTAATCGCATTTCACTGCCGTCGCCGCAGAAGTGGCTGCTAAACCGAAAAACATTCAAAGTGATTACATTGCGTATACGCAACATTTGGCACTCTGGCTTTTTCGTACGCAAATATTGTTGTTTGAAACTTTTTTGGGGTTGTCTTTCTTGCGGGTTTTTGGAACCGCGCCATTTAATGTGGGCTGATCCATGATTATGCGGTTGGCAGGTTTTCCGTGTGAACGTGTTACTTTCATAACTTTAAGTCAGGTTAAGTGCTCGCACCTACGCTACAATACTTTGAGGCACAAATTGAAAACTCAAACCAAAATGGTTGCAAATCAACCAGGACAAACAACTACCAATTTCGCTGTGCACAGTCAGGCAAGGGCATTTCCGTGCCATAAAAGCGTCCAAGTATAACATAGAAAGATACCACATTGATGGCTCGTTACCAACAAATTGCATTGAAGTCCCATCCCCAAGCCGTTTGCTTTATTTGCTGAAATACGTTTTATGGCTTGCCCAGCTGTCATAAAGATCCCTTCGGCATTGACATGACCATGGGTGATAGATCGTTGGTCATTGCCACTTGAAATGAGGAAGTAGTTTCCATGTATTTCATAACTATATTTTAAGATAAACTTTAACTGGCAAGAAATGCACAGCATTTATAAACGTACCATATGGATTTTTAATGCTTATTATTTGCATCCACGGAAACCAAAGGATAACAACCAAAGGTAACAACGACTCAGACATCTACTTAATCTTCACTTCTGGTCTTTGGAACTATGTATCTAGGATAGCAACCCGTGGACAATTGCATCAAATGTTTTCAAAGATCCAAGAAGGAGAACATTTATTTTAATTTGCATACACTTTTGAAATAGATTAGCCGTCACCTACGACATTGCGAGAAGCCAAAATTCCAGCAGCACGCCGGATTCAGTGTCACGTAGTCCTCAGATGTGATCTAAATAACTAACTGACTAACAAATGCCTGTCCTATCATAGGCTCGTGTTTGCTGACCTTTGCTGTTCGGAATCCTTAAGTAGTTCGCTTAAGTAGAAGTCTGTCCAGGACAGCCACTTATATAATATCAATGAAGCTCAGAACTCTCTACTTTTGATAAGCAATAGGTGGGCGAAATGCTGCTGAAATTATGTTCAGTTGCATACCTCTAATTACGGCACGTTATTGTGGTGGCCACCTTCTGCTGACTGCTACTTTATGGTCGTAATTTCGCTGAAAACTTTGCCGCTGCAGTAAATTTTGAGCAGAGTACACTTGCACAGAGGGCGTCGACAGCAAAGATAAAGAGGCAGTCAAAGCTAGATCCAGCACACTGAAAAAACTTGAGTACATTTTGTAAATAAATTGCTGTCCTCTTCAGTTTTCGGCTTTGACACAGAACCAATTTTAAAATCGATCAGACCACAAATTTATATTTTTAAAAGAATTAATTACCTTCGAACGTTTTTTTAAATTTTTAAAGAACCATTTTATACATTTATTCCTCCCTTGTGCGGATTCCAAAAATGTTTTCATTCTTTATTTATTTTCTTTAATAATAACTAAAAAAAACAATATCCAGTGAAGCAAAAGTATGTTGTTGCATGCTCCTACACGCTGTGCAGAATAATTGCATTTCAGTGTCTCCCGAAAGGGATTTTCTTAAGTGTAAGCTAAACCCAAACAAAGGATACCCCAAAGTGTTCCGCCCTCAGGCCACCTCACAGATACAGCGAATCCCAAACACACGCACACACCCACACGCACGAAACAGAGACACTCACACAGGTGGCCGAAATATTTACCGTCTAAAATGGCAAGTCCCGTGTTGTAATTTTCATGTGTCGGAAAAACGGAAACGGAACAGCAAAGCAAGCAAACATACAGCCAACTTTCTACACACACAGACATACGAAAAAGGACGAAAACCACAGCGAACGATAATGGAAAGCATTAAAGCAGATTACTTGCGAAGCCAAAATGCCAAGAGACACAGCGACAGTCTGAATTAGTAAAATTCTATTTTTTTGTATGCGCGAAAAGGCTTCGAATTGATGAAGATGAAGGTCATTCGGCGATGGCTGCAATCAGTGCCTCCTTTATTGCCATTCCAGGATAATGCTCTCCACTTTGTCGGTCCGCTATTTGCCTAGGCCAATTTTAATTATTTGCTTTTTTTCGAAGTATTCAAGTAGGCCCAAGAAGTTCTGACGACTTTGCCATTTTGTGGGTGTATTTAAGAATTAAGCAGATAAGCTGTATTGCAACAAAATTAAAAAAAAAAAAAATTATCAAAAAATAAAAATAAAACGAATATACTATATACTATACTATAAACTATAAATTATACTATGTATTAATAATTATTAATACGAATCGAATTTCAATATGTTAAGACCGAAGTTATTAATAAGGATTGATTGTTCTTTTTCACTAATTGGGTTTCCACCACAAATATTTTTATTTATTTTTATTATACCCGTTACTCGTAGAGTAAAAGGGTACTCTAGATTCGTTGAAAAGTATGTAACAGTATATATTCTTGATCAGGATCAATAGCCGTCTCAATCTGGCCATGTCCGTCTTTCCGTATGAACGCCTCGATCTCAAAAACTACAAAAGCTAGAATTTTGAGATTAAGCATGCAGCTTCCAGAGACATAGACGCAGCGCAAGTTTTTTGGCCATATGTCCAAATGTTGCCACGCCCACTCCTACGCCCACAAACCGCATAAAATTGACACGCTCACACTTTTCAAAAATGTGATATTATTTCATTTTTGAGTATATCAATAAATTTCTATAAAAACTTTTTTCATTCTATCATTTTTTCCCCAATTTCTACCGATATTGCTTAAATTTCTCGTTTACACTTCCACTAGCTGAATGACGGGCATCTGATAATCGGGTATTTCGACTGAAGAGAAAAACAGAAGTTGTCGCTAGGCAATTTGTCAAATCAAATAAAATCATTAAAAATAAAATCATAAAATGTGTGGCCCAAAAAGTGTAAGCGTAAGCAATTTGCCGGTGCCTTTGTTGTTGCTGCTGCTGGATTTTTTGTGTCATGAAATATAAAACCACAGTATGACATGGCCCAAACCTACAATTACACTAGGGAAAACCGGATTCAAATATTGCAAATTTTTGTAAAAAATGATCAAGTTCAATAAATATATTATGTGCATATGTTGTAACAAATTAATCACTTTAAATCTTTTTTCTTAGCTGAAAATATTTGTATTTTCAGCGCACTGGAATTGTAACCAAAGTCAACAGCATAACTGTGCGCTTGTCGGTCGAATGCCATCTCTTTGGCTGTCATTTTGGCCATGTTTTCAGCCTAAATAGCCCGTTGCCCCTCGATTAGATCCTGGGCAAAATGCCCTCTCGGGCGTTTCAATTACATTATTAATCACATCACTCACAGGTCTTATTTTAAGCAGTTTGTCCCTCCAGCTGCCGTGCAATAAATTCGTTGGCCACCAACAAAACTTTTTCAATTAACACAAAATTATGCAAATTGAGTGGCTGGCAAAGTCGCAGTCATAGGAGTAGCTTAGATAGCGATAAGACAAATGGCTCTGGCATAGATGCCCGATGGCACTTTTTTTTGGGACGGAACAATGTTTCTACAGAATCACGGCATTCTACAATTGATCATTATTTTAATATGAGGAAATTTGTTATATATATATTTGATTAATAATTAATTTGATATTATTTGCTTTACAAAATCATATAAAATCATCATTACAAATGAAGTGCACAAATATACTAGATAAGATATTGAGCATAGTTTATTTTGTGTTACGTATTTGACGTAGCATAAATCAAGTTCCTCGAATGCTGATAAAATAGAAAAGAGTTATTTAAAAATATGTCTCTATCATAGAGTATTTACCTTTCCATTATAACCTTAAGTGTGCTGCTTTTCAGAATAAGCAAAACAAATAGGATTATTCCAAAGGAGTCTTGTATGTAGACAGTTAAACTTTTAATTATACTGCTTTTCATGAAATCCACTATTTCCGTAAGTTGGTAAATTATCCAATTCGCGCCCATGATCATAAATAGTCGCAGGAACTGAATGTAACTAAAATCAGGATATGGAATAGGTATAGTTTCAAATGAGTCTAGTTCTTACGTCTGAAAATCGAATTCAAAACAGGTCGAAGATCTTATGTCCTGTTGGGCGAACCTTTTGACTTCCCTCTTTACTTTCCAAATGTGAATGGATGTTAGGACGAACATTGTCGCATTAAAGATGTCTGTGATTATTAACGGGGTGTAACAGTTGCTCATGTCTGTGTTCGAAAAAATTAATAATTGTCAGCTATTAAATTAAATGGTTTTAATGAAAAACACACCTGTATCCGAGCACCCTGTATAACCGTCATGGGGCAAGCTTCGTGATTTCTCTGGATTATTTTCCCTTATTTGGTTCATTGAAACAATCACTCCTGTGGGAATAGCAGCCGTACACCAAACAACGGTGTTATAAATCAGGAATCGATACTGTGGCTCTTCACGTTTCAGGGAAGTCAAAACTTCCCACAATTGGAAACTGACCACAGAAAGCCATAGATACGATGATATCGTAAAGTAGTATTGAATGTATCCTATAGTGGATCAATTTTATAATACTATGTAAGCAGATAATACTCATAAACCAACCTGTTGCCGCGCATATGTCAAAAACTAATCTAAAATGATCCAATGTCCAAATAAAATTTTCGATGAACAAGCAGAAGATAGTGCAGATAAGACATTTTCCAAGTAAATTCCGAAGCTTCTTAACAGAAAGATAAACAGCCAGGGTAAGGATATAGCATACTACCGATATCATCGTTACTGAAAGAATACTGATTAAAGTTTATTAGAATAATATAGTTATAAAGCTGCTGTTACGCTCGGCAGAATTGTTTTTGAAGCACTTTCGATTAATAACCCATATGGTTTCCGGAAAGTCTGAATAGATTTCGGGATAAAGGCAGTATTGATCATTCGACAAGGTTTGGGCAGACTTGTGGAGGAACATGGCTCCGTCCTGAAAAGGGTTTGATAAGAGTGACATAGGGAAGCCGAAGGAAATCCGATATCTAACCTTTAGCATCGAGTACTCATCTCTTTTTAGGCTGATAACCTGGTCGCAAGGCTTAAACTGTTCCCTTAAAACCATCAATTCTGTGGAATTATGATGCGGTGTTATATTCCGCTCTGCTAATGGCTTCAGCAATATATCCTTTTTTGTAAGGTCCAACATTGTTAATTTAATTTCCTTCTGTACGCCATCATTACACTGTCCATTGTTTAAAATATTTTTGCGGGCGCAGCAGACTCGAATGCAGGGCCTAACTTTGCAGATACAGGCTCTTAAATGGATTTTAACCGGAACTTTGGCACCACCCATTAGCTCCATATAGTCGAATTCGCCGGTCAGGTTAGCAGGAATTTCAAAGTTTTCATAGATATAGACATCATTGAACCGTTTAAAATGTGAAATATTAATTGTTTCATCGTATTTGCAGGGCAGAATTTCCGAACTCGAATTTTTCGCGATGATTAGGATAATAAGTGTACAGAAACATTTCAACCACAAAAGCATAATTCACAAGGAGAGTTGAACTCGACTGCGGTCTCACACGGTTTTGCGTGCGTTAAATAGCTTGCATTGAAATCTTTAGACATTTACAATTAGCGGCAGAGAAAAATAATTAAATATTAGTGTTTTTTTTTTTGTTGTTAAAAAAAGGCTTAAACAATAATGGTCCCATAGGGCTACTAAAATATAACACAATTTTTAAGGCAATTTAATCGCGGTCAATTCTCTAGAATTAAGCTTTTGCTTTTCAACGCATAAGATGAATGACCAACAGTGAATTTCCAAAAATCAGTTCCCTGGTGCATTATGTTTATTTTTATTGCATCGATGAGATTTTAGTTATCAAAAAACTTTTACAAAACAGGCCAAAAAATATATTTTTTATCAGATTACACATAGGAAATATGTAGTTATTTTAAAAAGAATTTAGAGAATTCTTCTGTAGTTCTAGATATTACATGTGGTTGGCCTCTCATTTAGACGACAGAGCAATAAATTCACGATAAACACGGCAAACCCAGAAACTTTATTTATCCTCATAAGTGCAAGAAAACTACACAGAGAGATATTTGTATATAGGACATGTTTGAAATTGGATTGGTTAAATAGGGGTTACAAAATATTATCTATAATTAAGATTAAAGTTTATATATATATTTTCAGCTTTCTACTGTTTTCTGCTAGGGTTCCTCTTTTTAGTATTTAAATATGTTTTAAATACTTCTTAACACTTCTTCCTGTGCATTCGCAGGTTCTCAGCATTCCAGATGCATTCATCAGTGCGCGTTTTGCGTTCACATTGTATCGCCCGAGAACGAGGATGAGGTTGTGTCTGTCATCCGCAGGAACAAGGATGCCGAAGGACCCAAAGCCCGTTACGCTTACTTAGCTCATCTCCTAAAAGTTCGATATATGTAAGTTTAGCTTAACAAATTAACTCAAATTTTGATCTCACTGTTACTGTGTGCCGATTAAATATCATTTCAGCTGAACTGCCACATGCCACAACCACTGCCACTGAATTGCGCAAAGTTTTACCCTAAAGATGCAGCAACTAAAGCTGTGGCCGTGCTCACCTTTTTCTCTAGGGGAGAAACTTGCAATTAAGTTAGTGGCTTTCTTTCTTGCCACCTGCAGCAAAGGATCACTAAATGCGCATCACGGCATTTAAAATACTCTTGTCTTATAGGGGGTTTGGAATTTAACTGTATGTTGAAGCTGGTCCTATAGTTTACCTTTAATTAAATGTTAAATTTTGTTGGATATACGAACATATATCTATTGTAACTCTTTCAAACCAATCAGGATGACGATCTAGGATGATAAGATAAGATTGATGCGTAATTTTCTGAATGGACGGATATATTGAATTCAGGATTGTTTCTCTAAATTTCACTTTAGCCAACTAGATACCCCAACGTTAGCTGCAAAAGAGTTACCTGCTCTGAAGGAGATTTATTAATGTCAGCGATGGTCAACAGGTTGGTAAATAGGAATTGATAGCGGCAGACCCGTCTGAGCGGAAATAGACAGACAAGTCCACGGGGGAATCGATTCGTCTAGTGACGTTGGCCTAAAGGATGCTTGCTGGCTCGAAAAACGCTATCAATTGGCAATTATGTGCCATGGACGTTCTACGCTGCTTGAGTTGTATGTACCGGCTGCTCCTGAGTACCTGGAAATCATTTCGTTTTCGCATAAATCAAACAGGAATTGCGTAAAAACGTTCTTTCAATTTATTTACTTGGTGTTGTTTTCATTTTCATTTGCAGTGAGTTTTTGTTGCTTGTGGGAAATTTATATTTTGAATGTGCCCTGTTCTGGCTTGAGGAGTTTTCCTTTATTTTCCTGCCTGCCCTTGGTAAATGGGACATACTGACAAGCGAAAGAAGTGTGAAATGTAAATGTAAATAAAATACTGACTTTACCTAAAGGTTTACACAACTCAAATTAATATTCAACAGTTTATTCGGAATATATAACTGTTAAACTCTAATGAATAATTTGTTGTCTTGGGTAAATGTTTGTATGGAATTGTACTAATCCAAGTAATCTAACGTTTTATCCGGGCTAAAGCAGTTTACCAGTCCAAATGTCCAGCGAAAAGGAAGAAATTCATTACAGATGTCCTTTTAGCTTTCATACATACTTATTTTTTCACATTTTATTCTTTGTAAAACACCTGACAACACTGATAGCTGCCTCGTACTTTTGTTTACTCTGCATTGATTTATGCATTGAGTGTTTTAAATGTGGGCGTGCTATTTATGGGCCTTGACCGATGTTCGTCCGTCTGCTGGCGTTTTTGTGCTCCTTGACTTGATTTGTGGCTTGTCCTGCAGACGAGGACTTCTGCCCAACCCCAATACCAACACCCAATAAAACCCCAAGCCAAGACTCTGGATGTGGCGTGTCCCGGCCAAAGGTCGCTAGATGTATGGGAACCTTAGCTTCTTAGCGCTCGGCTAGTTTGCATATTTGGCTACTGTTGTGTCAGTAGTGGAAATTACTTGAAATGCTATGGCCAGTCAGTCGCCAGCCAGATTTGTGTCTGAAACCTTCGTGACAAATTTGATAAGACTTTGCAGCTCATTTGTACGCCATGTTTGGCTGCTTTGTTTGCTGGGTTTGAGCTGCATTTCACTTGTCTGCTGATTTTCCCATCAACATAACAAATTAGTGTCGCTCTTCCGTCGTTGTCACTTAGGGGTTTCTGCAATTTGAACCTGAATCCAAACTTATAAGTCTCATGAAAACCAAACTAAGCCCAAGGGGTCTCTAATGACCGACAGATGTGTGGCGAACACATAAGACCTTTTGAAAAATTACGCATATGACGCGTATGCCGTCCGTGCATTCATTTTGAACGAGTAGGAAATATACGCCTAATAATTGCGTATAGAATTTTTATTGCCTGCTTTAATTAATTTAAGTGAGAGGAATTAAGTCATGTTTCCTTAAGAACCATTTGGAGACCCAATGCAAATGTGGAGCAGACCGACCATATGCGGAGGAGACGACTTGCCAGGAATCAGCAATTTATTGTCGCTTAAGGCCATCGAAAGCCATGGAACAGTTGGGTGCCCACAAGCCGGAGTTCCCGTGTCTGTAGGATTACCATGTGTACGCGTGTTGCTTCAGCAGACCGTGAGCTACGTGCCAGGCGTTCCTCCACGGATTGTCTTTCTTGCGGTTTTTTGGAACCGCGCGAACGAGTTACTTTCATAACTTTAGACCAGGTTAAGTGCTCGCACCTACGCTACAACACTGAGGCACAAATTGAAAATTCAAACCAAACTGGATGCAAATCAACCAGGACAAACAACTACCAATTTCGATACGCACAGTCAGGCAAGGGCATTTCCGTTCCATAAAAGCGTCCAAGTATAACATAGAAAGATACCACATTGATGGCTCGTCACCAACAAATTGCATTGAAGTCCCATCCCCAAGCCGTTTGCTTTATTTGCTGAAATACGTTTTATGGCTTGTCCAGCTGTCATAAAGATCCCTTCGGCATTGACATGACCATGGGTGATAGATCGTTGGTCATTGCCACTTGAAATGAGGAAGTAGTTTCCATGTATTTCATAACTATATTTTAAGATAAACTTTAACTGGCAAGAAATGCACAGCATTTATAAACGTACCATATGGATTTTTAATGCTTATTATTTGCATCCACGGAAACCAAAGGATAACAACCAAAGGTAACAACGACTCAGACATCTACTTAATCTTCACTTCTGGTCTTTGGAACTATGTATCTAGGATAGCAACCCGTGGACAATTGCATCAAATGTTTTCAAAGATCCAAGAAGGAGAATTAGCCGGCACCTACTGCATTCCGAGAAACCAAAATTCCAGCAGCACGCCGGATTCATTGTCACGTAGTCCTCAGATGTGATCTAAATACTAATTGACTAACAAATGCCTGTCCTATCATAGGCTCGTGTTTGCTGACCTTTGCTGTTCGGAATCCTTAAGTAGTTCGCGGTAGAAGTCTGTCCAGGACAGCCACTTATATAATATCCATGAAGCTCAGAACTCTCTACTTTTGATAAGCAATAGGTGGGCGAAATGCTGCTGAAATTATGTTCAGTTGAATACCTCTAATTACGGCACGTTATTGTGGTGGCCACCTTCTGCTGACTGCTACTTTATGGTCGTAATTTCGCTGAAAACTTTGCCGCTGCAGTAAATTTTGAGCACAGTACACTTGCACAGAGGGCGTCGACAGCAAAGATAAAGAGGCAGTCAAAGCTAGATCCAGCACACTGAAAAAACTTGAGTACATTTTGTAAATAAATTGCTGTCCTCTTCAGTTTTCGGCTTTGACACAGAACCAATTTTAAAATCGATCAGACCACAAATTTATATTTTTAAAAGAATTAATTACCTTCGAACGTTTTTTTAAATTTTTAAAGAACCATTTTATACATTTATTCCTCCCTTGTGCGGATTCCAAAAATGTTTTCATTCTTTATTTATTTTCTTTAATAATAACTAAAAAAAACAATATCCAGTGAAGCAAAAGTATGTTGTTGCATGCTCCTACACGCTGTGCAGAATAATTGCATTTCAGTGTCTCCCGAAAGGGATTTTCTTAAGTGTAAGCTAAACCCAAACAAAGGATACCCCAAAGTGTTCCGCCCTCAGGCCACCTCACAGATACAGCGAATCCCAAACACACGCACACACCCACACGCACGAAACAGAGACACTCACACAGGTGGCCGAAATATTTACCGTCTAAAATGGCAAGTCCCGTGTTGTAATTTTCATGTGTCGGCAAAACGGAAACGGAACAGCAAAGCAAACAAACAGCCAACTTTCTACACACACAGACATACGAAAAAGGCCGAAAACCACAGCGAACGATAATGGAAAGCATTAAAGCAGATTACTTGCGAAGCCAAAATGCCAAGAGACAGCGGCAGTCTGAATTAGTGAATTTCAAGGACGAGACTCCTTTTTTGTATGCGCGAAAATGAAGGTCATTC